GTATATCACTGCACCGGGTGACCTTGTTACTTTGCTATAACAATACCAAGAAGGCTATAGCATTGTAACAATATAAATGTTTTTTTAGTCTTTTGGTAGATAAATTTTCTAAAAATTTTTTCAGTTTTTTGTTATTTGATAGATAAACTTTTATATAAATTTTTTTTTAAACTTTTAATATTTTTTAATGTTTAATAGATAAATTTTTATAAGACCTTTTTTTAGTTTATTAGCATTTTGTAAATGAACTTTTATATAGATTTTTCTTAAAACTTTTAGTATTTTTTGATAAACAATTTTTTAATATTTGGTTAATAAAGCTTTATATAACTTTTTTAGTTTTTTTGGTATTTAAATTATTTTATAAACTTTCTTTTAGTCTTTAGTATTTGAAGATAAATTTTTTTGTAGATTTCTTTTTAACCTTTTGGTACTTGATAGATTAACTTTTATATAAACTTTTCTCTAAAATTTTAGTATTTTTTGGTAAACAATTTTTTAATATTTGGTTAATAAAGCTTTATATAACTTTTTTTTAGTTTTTTGACAATTAAATTATTTTATAAACTTTCTTTTAGTCTTTAGTATTTGAAGATAAATTTTTTGTAAATTTCTTTTTAACCTTTTGGTACTTGATAAATTAACTTTTATATAAACTTTTCTTTAAAATTTTAGTATTTTTGGTGAACTTTTTTTTATAGACTTTTTTTTGATATTTTTCTTGCAGACTTTTTTTCAATTTTTTGATATTTTGTTAATATATTTTTATATGATCTTTTTTTATTATTTTGATAAATTTTTTTGTAAATTTTTTTCCAATCTTTTGAAAAACTTTTTTGCAAACTTTTCTCTAGTTTTTTTTTTTTTATTTTATTTATTTACTGTATTTTATTTTGTTATTATTTTTTTTGTCTTTTATTTTTTTAAAAATAAAATTGTAATAAAGTATACTTTGGTTTGAAACTAGGCTTAATTGGTTTACTTATAAAAATAAACTGACTTAAAATTTAAAAATAGCTATTATATAAATGGTTTCTATTGGTTGATCATGGTTACTATTTAATAATTTAACTTAAGCTAATATAAGAATCTTCGTGTTAGGTGTTTAATTTAGATTTTCAAATTAATTCAACCCTTTAGAAAAACATTAAAAAACACTGTTGATTTAAATTTTAAATACTAAAATATCGTACTATATGTTTAAAGCCAAGTACTTTACTGCATTATAAAATTATCTAATATATAACCTGGTTTATTCAAACAAAACAAATGCAAGATAATAGACAAAATGAAAAATATAAAAAACAGCTATATATCTAAACTAGTCTTTACTAAATAAAAGTGTTAAAAATATTAAAAATGTGATTTTAATCTAACCAATGAAATTTGGATCGGCATATTGCATATTTGCAGCCAATAAAACAGAACTTCAGTTATTCTCGCCAGAATTTGTTTCTTCTTAATATGGTGGTATGCGTTTTTTAATTATTACCTATTTCCTTTCTAAACGGGTTTACACATTAAGTAAAAATTCGCTTTTTCTTGTAGAAACTTGCTCTTTATTTTAAAGCAGAACTTGAAAATGTTACAGACGTTGGACCAAGCAACGAAGCATATGAATGGCACTTTAAGGTTCTATTATACATCCAAGGCAATATTTTACAGAATAGTATAGTTTAGAGTTATCGATCACACATTTATGTATAGGTAAAGTGTAATAGTTGTAACGAGATAAATGAGAATTGGGTTGGCGTTAATCAACTCGTAAGTATCATATTATATAATATTATTAAAATTTACATGCGATATTTTAATTTGAATTTATACATTTATAAAGGCTAGCAACGATATAACTGGTTCGCGAGGAAGTGCAAACTTTGTAATGCGTTGCAAATTTTGTAAACGCGAAGGTTCTGCACGTGAGTTGTATTTTATTGTGAAGATGGGAATTCATCGAAAACTAATATATACATATTTACATATTATAGAGTTTGATAATAAATCTATTAAACCATATACCAATGAAAATAGTGGACAATTTTCTCAGATGGCAATTATTGAGTGCAGAGGATTAGAATTTGTTGATTTTGATCCAAGGGTAATTATTAATTAAAGTTACGTGTTTATTATCACTATTTACAATATACATATTCATATTTTATTTTCTTAGACTGGTTTTAAAGCTAAAGGTGCTGAAAGCAAAACGATTTTTGACGACATTGATTTAACGTCGAAACAAGATTGGGCAGAATATGATGAAGAGGTTTGACAATTATTCTCAAGTCTTTTTTTTTTATTATTATTATTTTTTTTCATTTAACTTCATGTTTCGATCGTATATCTCGCATTTTAAAGGCAGGAGTTCCTGTTGGGATTTCCGAGGTAGAGACCAAGTTTGAACGTGCATAGATTAGAATTTAAAGTTTCACCAAAATTTTTAAGTGTCACGCGTCTTCTGAGTAAGGCTCTACAGAATCTTTGGTCTTTTAAAATCAAAGATTACACTTCAACGAACCACATAATTATCTTATCGTAGCAATGAAAATAATTAATTAAATCATTAACCTTTGATTGACTGAAAGCATGATTTTAAATAAACTTCTTTATTAACAAGATTTATCCTATAAACCTATTTATGCATTTAATATCCGAATCAACAAGTTATTAATTAAATTTCTACGACTTAAATTAGTACATATATAAGCAGCTCAAAAATTGGTTTAGAGATTTTTTAATTAATTTACTAGAGAATTAAAGTAGAGAAGTTCATTTCAAGTATTTGGAACTACCTTGAATAAATATCAGAACTAAATTAGTTGAATACATAACTTATTTAACAATAAAGTCAGCCATGGTTCTTCTAAGACAATAAAAAAAATTCACATGCAGAATTTTTTATAAAGTCAATCGTGAAGAAACTTCACAATTGGCTTTTGTTTCATTGATCAGTAATAATCCTATTATTGTTATGACTGGAGTTGTAGGTGAAACTAATTTTGATAGTTTCAGCTGAGTTTTTCATTGGTTATTATATTAATTTCACCAGTTTCACTGCAATCTATGAATTTTTCATCGTATCCAAAGATAATATTCTTATATGATATGATTTCTATCTCAACTGTTTCAAAGAATGTTTGGGATACTCTAAAACTATTGCAATACAGTTAAATACAATCTGTACAGATTAGCCTAAAATATGCATTAGGGTGGTTTGCATTAAAAAATATGTATTTATTATTATGATTTCTTATAGTCAAGACAAAAATAATATATATAGTGAGGTATTGCATTTAGATTGTATTTAATTGATGATCCGGATAAGATCGGCATAATTACTATATTGGGACAATAGTAAATTTTGGGGATAAGTACAATA